ATATATTTAGACACATTCATTACTAATGTGGACAGTTTATTGTTCACGCAGACTAGGGCATTAATTGGAAAGGAAACAGGGAATGTAATTCCAACATACTGTCTTGATGGGCTGCTACTGTAAAATAGGGTTATACTCGCAACTTCACAGGCAAATCTATTGCCTATCTTCAGCTTTTTATACATAATAAAATATGTCAGAGCTGATTTATCCCTGCTATAATGCCAGATGGATTGACCTGAACAGGAAGAGGGGAAGAAATGAGGTGACTGGAACAGCTAATAAAACATCTCTAGTTTAAGGTCATTAATGTTGTTCCTGCATGCAGTGAAGGGCAGTGCTTCAGGGAGTCTCCAAAGTCTTCTGATGGAAATGAAGGTATGGATCCAGTTCCTTTGCTATAACTATATGGGGCGCAGAAATAAGACTGTTACAAGACACGCTTGCTGACTGTGATTTATACTGTATCAGTCCCAAGGTATTAATTTGGGCCCTCCTGAAGTTGCTGTAACTCATACCAGTTGTCAATAATCTAATTTTGATAAATCAGGTATGTTCCTAACGTGTATCTGTCCTAAGTCTTCTTATGCCAGACTGTGACCTCCTAAGACAATTCTGAGAGCAGGATTTTTCGGTAAGCCATGGCAGCTTTCCTGCATTTTGCCTTGAATGTTGTATCTCTGCAAAGATTTCCTGATGTGTTGTCTTTCACCCTGTTACCTGACATTCAATATTGCCCTGTAGATGTGAGGAAACACAGCAAGTACTGATCGGATTACATTGCGTTATCAGGTTGGGTTTTAACGCCATAATTCGTATGCTTTAGAAGAGTATGTGCTTTTGAAATACCCTCTGGGAGCATGAGCAGAATCTGTGACTAATTGAGGGGGTCAGTCTTTCTCATCCTAGCATCTGCTTTTACGTAATTGAACAGCACATTTCTCGTTGGGCTGCATCTCAGCTCACCTTTCAGTATCGGTGGGAAAGGATGGGTAGGTATAGCACTGTGTGACTGTTGAGGACCATCAAGCCACGATTTTAGCAGTGGTAGTGAAGATAGGCAGTGTAGTGGAGGGATGATCTTGAGATCACCCTAGACCTCTGGGACATCACAGTTTGCCTTCCCAAGTTCTGTTCTCCCCATTTGTAAAATAAAAATTACATCGACCTGCCCGCCTTTACTGTACTTCGTGCTGTGAAGTGGAAGCTGTTAAGATAGCAAGAGTAGCGAGTTCTGCGAAGTGTTATTACTGTATGTATGTATGTATGCTCATGTTTTGTGTGTGTAGTTTTGTCTTCTTGTAGTTCTTGTATACATATCTACACAGAAGTTGGTGTCAGCTAAAAGAACAAGCAAATATGTCCCCTTTCCATTTATTTTTTTAGCATCACATCGGCTCATCTTGAGTTTTCATGCTGCAGTATTTTCACCTAAAAGCTGCACTGCATTTTTATATAACCTATGTATATGAAGGTAAGACCACAAAACACAAAAAGACACCCAGATACATCATGTCGCAGTAAGAAATCCCTTAGATGTGTTTCAGAAGAGTATAGATTCCTTGAAATAAAAAAAGAATAGATTTCTCAAAAAACAAGGTAAGAATTTGAAAGTCTGAATGGCAGGATATATTTGCAGTACAGATGATGTTAAAATATTTCATCTTTTCAACCTCTAGGGGGGACTATGTTTTCAGCGAACCTGTCTGTGAAGAATTTTCTTAATCTGCAGCAGGCAGTTCAGACTGTTGCTAAAGCTAGCTGGAGCGAGTCAAGTGATTCTTGATTTGTGTATGAGTTATTTCTGTGGGGAAAATAGCCTGTGTCTGAAATGACTTCAGTCCTAAAGGGCCAGCCTGAAATCTCTGCTCTCGGTGCAGTCTGCGGGCATTCTGCCTGCTACTGATTCACGACTGCAGGATTTGTTCCTATTAAAAAGTATTTATGTAGCTGAAAAAAATAATGTCTGGGGAGAAATGTTGAATTTATAGCTATGGAAAATACTGTAAGTGAATTAATGATGAGGTGGATTAAGTGACATTTTGAATTGGGATTAACAAGTAAATTCTCGTGCATAACGTTCTGGCTCAGAAAAATAAATCAATCACAGGCTGGGTTTCTTCTCTGTAAAACCGCTTAGGGTGAAGGGGATTGACTGAAATGTTCATGACACATTGGGCCCGCAGAGATACTGTGACTCCCATAAGGCTGAATGCAATTGCTCAGGTGAGTAAGGACCACATACTGTGGGCCAAATCTTTTCCTGACAGCATCAAAATTGGTGTTTGACACTACTACTGCTAGACAGTACTGGCTAGATGCCTTTTGTTTCTTTTTCCCCTCACATTGGCCCTGCTTCTCCCACTCTTATTCATTCCCAGCAGTACTTTACCTCACAAGGAGCAGTCAGTGTGAAGGGATGGCAGCCCTGCGATTTATGGGTTTACTATCTCTTCTGTTGTGTTTACACAGCTTACGCTCAAATAAGACAGCTAGGAGAGTATGGAGCTCACACGTAAAATGAAAAAGATATTCTGGTGGGGGAAGGAGGGAATCAAGAGAGATCCGTCCAGATTTCGGTGTTGTAAACACATCTGTAGGGTCACCATAAAGCAGTGACTACAAAGGTCAGCATTTCAAAATGTGTCTTAAGAAAATGTTTTTGCAGGCTTTGTGGTAAAGATGGCTGGCATGTTGTATATCGTAACATTCTGCTTAATCTCTGCTATGTTATATGGAGTCATTTACAACGAAAAATGCCTGACATAACTTACAGTACAGGAACATACAAAACCAGCTTCACCAGGGTGGATGTTTATGTAATCTTCAAGAACACTCTGAAGTTCGATTCAGTAATCAAATAAAACTACGTGAGAGGCACATTTCTCAGAGACGCTACCCATCTTTGAATTTCCGAGCTGCTTTATTTTACCGAGCCCCGTTAGATAAATGCTCCCGAAAAAAAGATTTTTCTGATTATTATTTCTGTACATCGTGTTATCTGCTGTTTTCATTCCACTTCTCGGTTGTAATTGCACAAGTGCTTTCAGCTTTCTTTTCTTTTTAATCAAGGCATCTTAAAGGTGAGCAGATGGTCACCCCAGGAGCGCAGGCTTCCCATTCATAGACTGCACAGTGAAGGCAGCAACAGAAGTAAGTTTACACATACTGCCCTGACAATGACCTCTGTGCTGAACTAAACAAATCCCTTCTGGAACGCCAGGAGCAGTTCACTCACCTTTCGAATGCAAACCTGGCACTCTCTGAGTAACCATAAAACATCAAACCTTGCAGCCCTGCTCTGGGTTTGAGGATGCGTGCTGTTATGGGGCACAGAAAACTCCACAGAGAGCCATCCTTTAGGATTTTGCTGTCAAAAAGCATCAGGTATTCCAAAGCCTCTTTCACAAAACATTTCGCACATTTTGCATTGACCTTATTCCAGAACAGGAGTGTCCATTTTAAATGGACACTAACAAAATCTTAAGCATAGCAGCCTTATGGCTAGTAAGTAGAGCTGAACAGGGATGGATTTAACATGCTCTGACTAGGCAGTGTTGTCAAGATCATTCAGAAAGTTATTTTTCTTTTTTTACCAAGAAAATAATCTCGGAACAGGACTTGTCTCCTTCACTGGGGAAACCTCTGCTGCTTGTGGCACGAAGTTGTGTCTCTGAGACACAGTGGGTGGGAAGCGACAGAAAACTGCATCTGGGCCTTCTTGGCATGGTGGTCTCAGAAAGATACCAGAGGGATACAGGCAGGGGTCAGGGATCCAGTGCCAGCTTCCCCATAGCGTTACGCCGTCCCTGAGCACGGGTACCTTTCTGGGTGAGGAGATGGGAGCCAGGCAGCCCTGCTTGTACCCTGCCGCGGCGCCCTTCAGGATGCTGCCTGCATCCCCCAGTGCTGATGCTGCAACCCCCCCTTCCCCAAATCCCCCAGTCCCGCCGAGCACCAGCCCCTGAGCCCTCGGGGGGGCTCAGATGCTTCCCTTAAGCAGTAAAGTGCAGCTTAACCGGGCTGAAGCAACCCCAAAAAATATTTAACAAAAATTAAAGAGCAATGGGATCCTTTACTCCCCGGCCCTGATCGCAGGGAGTCGCTTGGCAGGGAGGGCAGCAGCCGAGAGGAAGGTACACGAACAAACGTACGTAAGCGTTATGTATGTGATAAGGACACCCCCCGCCCCGCGGTTTCGGCGGCGGTCTCCACGCTCGCAGCTCGCCCGCAGCCCCGGCCGGCGGGAGAG